CCTAGTTCGAACTATCTAGCCCGTGCCGCGTGTAGCCGCGCGGCACGGGGTTCGCACTAGCCGGCTTTTAAAAATGGCAGCGCCGGCTTTATGCTAATGAAGCCCGGGAAATTCAAATCCCGGGCTTCATTAGCAAGTTCGGTATGCCTACATTACCCTGCTAGTTCGAACTAGCGGGGTAGTGTAGACATACCCTTAGTGCTTAAGGTGCCACAGGACTTCTTGCTATAATTAAAAGTTGTTACAAAAGCAATCGGAAGGAGGGCAAGGGTCCAGCTTTCTAGTGGCAGCTACTACTCTGTACGTGCTGGCCCTAGCCTCTTCCTTCTAGAGACAGGGTGCTGTGCAGAACTGCCAGACTGAGCCCATGGAGCAGATCAAGAGGGAAAGCTGTCAGGTTCATGGATGGCCCAGTGAAGGCCCAGAGAGGGAAGGCAACCCCTAACCCCGCCCCTTCTGGATGAGGCCCAAGACCCTGCCCTTTTTGCAACTTCCCCCCATCAAGCTAAGCCCTGCCCAACACCTGCCCTGAAGCCTGATCCTTCCTGGCCAGCTGTAGGGCTGGGACTGCCACGCTGTAACCCCAGCACTCTCAGGCAGCCAGGGAGTCGGTCTGCTGCACCACGGTCCCAACCCTTACAGGCAGCCGGGGAGTATAGGCATTTTTGGGAAGGCAATGCCTTCTCATACCTACATTACCACCGCCCCTGGTTAGGCTGCAATGTTCTAGGTGATCCACAAGATCTCTTAGGACTGAGTCTTTACGGACTTGACAGCCGGATGTCAGTCAAAACTTCCTGTTGCCCAGACAGCGTTCTAGAGGCCGAGCACAGAGCTATAAACCAGCCGTGCTGCGACCGTGATAGCTGAATGAGCAATGTGGCTTCACAAGCAGGGGGCTTGTAGCTACCGGGCAAAGGTAGGCCGGCCCGTCTGGCAGCTGGTGGGTGAACAGTGTCTGGAGGCCTGAGGCAGGGCTGGGATCCTGGACTTTGCTGGAAGGCAAAATGAGTCAAGCACAAGGCAACAGAGAGACCTTGAGATGCATTTTTTTTAAAACGGGTTAATTGACAAACCCCACCAAAGTCACATGGTTTAAAGCCATGAAATCCCTAAGGAAAGGCAGGGCTGTCAGTCATTCTTACAGGGCAAAGGGAGGGCAGGAGAAGGCTCCAGCTATGTGAAGGGGCCAAGCGCCTGTTTCTGTGTTCGGAGCACGTCGGGCAGACTCCGCTGCTGTCACTGACTCCCTGCGCTTCCTTCCCCCAGTTCCATCCCGTTGCCCGGAGGACAGACTGCCGTCCGATCTTCCACCAATACCGGGGTATGTGTCCCTTTGTCACTTCCTTCCGATCAGGGTTGTTTAACCGGAGCTGTGCTTTTTTCAGGGGGCCAGGGAACGGGTATAACCCTTGATCTCCGCACCGCGTGGTCTGTGGACTGAACACTGGGGTCCCGACTGCTCACAGTGACGTCGGTTGTGTGGGCTCCAAGAAAACTGCTGGCACTAGTTTGCTCTGTTAGCCTGGACCCTGCCTGGAATAGCTGGAAGTAGCTGAGATCGCAGGGTGAAAAGAGATGGGGGGAGGGTGTTTTCCGGGGCACATCCACTGGAAGCAACAGAGCATATGGGTTTCAGAAACACGCTCTTATGGGGTTTCTCCTGGATCCTTTCTTGGCACCCAGTCCAGCCAATGTGAGCTGGACAGAGTAAAGCCTGCACGACTAGGGCCCAACGGCCAGCCAGTCACAGCCCTTTCTTCTGCCTGGCTCCCGGGGTTGCAAGGCAGGGTCGGGTTCTGGCTCCATGGAGCCCTCTCCACTCGCTGGGCTCAGAGTTTGGAAACCCTCAACAATTGCAAATTAGCCCTTGTGCATTTGCAGTTAAAAACGGTGCCGGTTTCTGCTTTCCTCTGTCTGGGCTCTGCAGCTTTATCTACTGAGTCCACCGCCAAAGGGTCTCCAAGCATGAGACATCCGGAGCCCCCACACAGCGCCAGAGCCACTGAATGTGCGATGTGCATAGCTCCAGGCAATTACCTCTCTCCACCTCCAGGATTTTCCTGTGCTGTTCACCTGCCCCTCTCAAGATGGCAGCAGCTCTCCGGCCCCTCAGCCCACCTGCCCCTCCAGCTCTTTCCACGTGGCTCTTCAAAGCCACCTCCCTGGTGCACTGCGGAGCACGGAAAGGTCCCACCTCCACCCTGATGCAAGCAGATTCTGTACTAACTTTGAAGGCACCTTCCCAATTGACTCCACTTCCCCTTCCCTACATCACGTGCAGCCCGAATGGGGGACAGGGAACGATGCCACTGAAGCCCTCAGCACGGCAAAGTTTGGGTGTCCTTTTCCAAAGCCACTCACCTTGGTCTAACATTGCCAAAGGTGGCCGAGGGTTACATGGGGCCCCCCTTCACGGACTCTGATTTTCAGAGAGCAGGAAGAACCCCCAGCTCCTCTGGCTTCCCTGAGGACGGCTGGTGCTCACCCCAATGGGTCTGTCATTGCGTAGCCAGATTTTAAAGCATCTGAGGTCAGTGGCCACGGGTAAAAATGTTGGCCTGGCTGTGCTGCCCTTTGGACACCAGAGCAGAACTTGGAGATCCGCAGTGTAGCCTTGGGGCCCGTGTTGGTATTTGGGAAAAAATATTT